GGGTGGTCAAATGCCAACCGGTGTCAATATCTCACATTGACCCAAGCCAACATTCTTCCACCCTATCATACCTGCACAGAGGTTGCCAATGCTCCGTACAAGCATAGCTAATCTACGGTCTACCGGCCGCGGGATTCGAAACCCGGGCAGATAGCACACATCGATTTAAGTACTGACGCCTTAAACCGTGCGGCTATCGACCGAATGAATTGCGTGTCAAAAAATGCGCAGTAACTACCTCTTAAAACCCACCAAATTTCATTTGCACAGCTCGACCGGTTTCAGAGCAATAAATTAAATCGTCAGTTTTTAAGAAAAACATTGACACCCCGTATCTCGGAAAACGAATCATTTGCAGACATACGTTTATAAGCAAACTGCCATTATTTTCTCATGTATAATCACCCCCTGAAATTTGTCGCACTTATTTACTAACACCCTGTATACATAATAGGTAGTGATTTAGGTTACGCGATGAGTTCTCCATTTGGTGCACATAACTGAGGTAGTAGCAGAAGTAAGGCAGCACTGTTAGTTACACTTTTCTCTTTTCGTTGTCAGTTATATGAAACACAAATCTTAATGTGGATACTTTCAAAACATATATATTTCGAAACAAGCGCCTTCTGCTCAAGTGCTACAATAAATGAAAAAAAAAAGAATCATTACTGTTAACATAGTTGTCCGATATGGAACAGTGTTATAATAAGATAGGTACGGTATTATAAAATCAGCATGTACAGTTAAATTTTATTTAATTCATTCAAGCCTACAATACAAAAACTATATTAGGGTTTAAACCTTATTTCTAAGTCTTAAAATATTACTAACAAAATACAATAGTGTGTTACTTACAGCTGTTGTTATAGTGAAAATTAATTCATGAATAAATTCGCGAATTTTTTCATGAATTCATCGATTTTTTGATAAAAGGTTTGGTTTTACATTGTTCTAAACCATCTAGACTGGCTATAGGGCGATTATGATGAAAGCAGTTGGGAGCCTAGTCGGTAGCCCAGCATCGGTCGTATCTGGAATTTTGAGCTGTACGTGCCGCTTTGATTTCAATAATTAATTATTCTTTCATGGGCAAATGTATTGTAGGACATTGTATAAATAGAAGTGAACAAGTTGGTAAAGAGAGTCGAAATGTCGTTTAAAAAAGAAAAATGACAACTTAAGAAACAGAAAAAATATATATTTTTTTAATGACTATAAGAACGGTACACCCAAGCTACAGAAAAATAAAATTGTGTATCATGTATTAAAAAACTTTTTTAATGTAAACGTATTTGAAAATTTGCATGAACAATTTGATAACTTCCCTAGCAATTGTTATCGTTTAATAGAACTTGTAAGGGTATATGAAAAGTATATTGATGTGAGAATAAATCTTGAAGTCAAAATATTTACGAAAAGACAAATATTAAATAAACTAACATTACTTAAAGGACAATAGATATATTTAAATTATTTTGTAGGTTTATTTAATATAAGCAAGACATTAAAATATATTATTTTGTGAATTCCAAACTTGAAAAATGAATATTTGTCATAAGTGTAAAAATATTGTTTAATCCGGACCTGTAGTATGTGCTCTAAGGTATGCGCAGTCAGATTACCTCGCACCCTCAACTTCCCCGCAATTTGCATTCAATGGTACCGGCGCATTGGAATTAGATACAGCCAGTCTAGGTGGTCTATGGCTCTGAACTTTGTGAATTTCTTTTCTTAGTAAATAGACAAATTTAAAAGAAATGTTTATTCGTAAATAGTGAAAATCACTGGGTTTAGGTATAGGGAAACTTTTACAAAGTTACACTTAACTTTTGTACAGAATGCGAATACGTTAAAAAAAATAGGGGTTTCCATTTAAAAATTTGGAGTTTTCCACATTTTCTGAACTTCTTATTCGATAATTTTTTTGACTACAAAAACTGGAAAATTTTCATGTCAAATTCGATAAATTAGGTCATCGTCTACAAAATGTCCAATTTGCACAAAAAAATAAACGTATGTCTCCGAGAAAACTAAATTTTGCTGACTGCCTGCATCTGTCAATTTTTGCTTAAAAATCAAAATATCTCGGAAACGGTCAATCCTAAGTATGGAGTGTGCTCTATGTTTTCAACTTAAAAATAGATGCTCTTTCCAAATATGCAATAATATACAGGGGGTTCCATTTAAAATACGAAAGTTAGTATTGACTTCCGGCATAACCGGAAACACGATGACCTTGAAAATATTTTAGGTTGGTAGGCCCCACGAATCGTATCATACCATCACAAATTCGAAAAAAATCTTGCGAGCGGTTTCCAAGGGTGTTTCAGAAAGACCTCCCGTAAATGCAGGGAGTGATAGTACGACAAAAAATAAGAATTTTTTGTCATATGAACTATATGACTATCTCCTCTCGTTTTCGAGATACAGAGCGACAAAATAAAATTTTTTAAATAGAATTTTTACGAAAATTTCCAAACGGTGCGAAATATTTTTATGAAATTTGCTATTCCTATTTATTTTAATTATATGTTGTTCACGTATATTTGTATAACAGTTAGGTACTTGTTATAATCCTTATGTGTTATTTACAACTCTTTTTTTCTTGGACGCGTATAAACTTATATGTGTATGTAACACTAGCCTTTATAAATAAATAAATAAATATTACTAAGAATGTAGGCGTTGTGTATGAGACATCCATCAATAAGCTTTAACATAAGCCTACTTTGAGAAAAGTAGGCTTATTTTATACACCGTAATATTGTACGAGTTTAATTAAAAGCCTTTTTTCTCGAAAACCGTCCACATTAGGAAGTTCTAACAAGAGTACATTATTTTTAGAAAATAAAATTGTACATTAGAAATTGGAGCCCGAATGGTAAAAAACCNATTAGACCAGCGTATTTGGCACCCTTAAAAACCCCAGAATACCAACATTCATAAAAATATTTCGCACCGTTTGGAAATTTTCGGAAAAATTACATTTAAAAAATTTTATTTTGTCGCTCTGTATCTTAAAAACAAGAGGAGATAGACATATAATTCATGACTAAAAATTCTTATTTTTTGTCGTACTATGACCTCCTGTATTTATGGGAGGTCTTTCTGGGACACCCCGTATAAACAGGTTTGGTGTTTGGGTGATTGTTTTTTTAATCAATCTGTGTCTGCGTCCAAGATAAAGTATAAAAATAAATTGTATTTCCCTTAATAGTTCCACCTAATTTTGTATCTACTATGTACGTGCTAAGTAGCCAATATGTCAATAAAGAAAGAATCCGATTATCCGGATGTTTGAATGAATAGATTATCAAATAATCGACTATTTGAATAATCGGTTATTTGAAGAATCGAATAACCGGTTTTTGGGTTTCGTAAAAATCCAAATCGTCTGGAACCGGTTAATCGACTATCCAAAAAACCGATTTCAGTTGCCAACACTACTCGATTGCATTTAAAAAGGCTCTCTATGCGTCGACACGTGATATGTAATACAACTCCTGTATTTAGTTTCATAATCGCAGTCGTTACATCTATACATTTGAACCTCAGAAGAATCTTTATGTTTCAGTTGGTGCTTTTTGAGATTATCTCTGTCCTTAGTTTCGTAATCGCATTTGTTACATCTGTACATTTGAACCTGTGATGGATCTTTATGCTTCAGTTGATGCCGTCTGATATGATTCCTGTATTTAGTTTCGAAATCGCAATCGTTACACCTGTACATTTGAACCTGTGATGGATCTTTATGCATCAATTGGTGTTGTTTTATACAGTAGCGGTATTTACTTTTATAATCGCAGTCGTTACATTTGTATAACTGGACCTGCGAAGGATCTTTATGTGTCAATTGATGGCGCGTGATACTACTCTTGTTCTTAGTTTCGTAATCGCAGTCGTTACATCTGTACATTTGTACCTGCGAAGGACATTTATGCCGCAATTGGTGCCTTTGAAATAATTTCTCATGCTCAGTTGTATAAACGCACGTTTTGCAGTTGTACACTTCCGAATCTTTCCCACATCTAGCGCAGTGTGCTGCAAAACGGATCTTACTTCCAGTTTTGTAACTACATTTATCACATCTGTACAATTCATTGCGTTCCTGCTTTTTTTTCTTATTATATTTGCTCGTTGACCTATTCTCGCATTTACATCCATCATCTTTTGCAACCTTACGGTCACTCTTCTCGAACGGTTTATTATCGGGGCTCTCCAGCGGCTCGTCGCTGAAAAAATTGCATATACAGGGTATTTTCCAAAGCAAGGTTTTAATTTTAAGGGGTTATAGATAATACCAAATGCATTTATAAATGTCGGAACTGTACTTGGCATTATTTCCATCTTATGATGAAATTAAATAACTATGTTAATGATGGTTTTGAAAATAATTAAGTTAAATCCCTAAGAAATTTAAGAATACTAGTGAGAAAAATAAGAAACTGAAATTATAAGGTTACGAGCAACAAATATATGCGGGTATTTTTCCGATTTCTCCAAATGAAATTACTTTTGTTACTATGTCAAATGAGATCTATACCCAAGTACTTGCGCAACAAATTTAATTTAAATGTTTTGCCAACTCTGACATCTTTTAGAAAAACCAAGCAATTTAGAACATAGGAATTAACGAATTTTCCCAGGAAAGTACAACTGTTAGAGAAAATTTTAAGTCCAAGATGGATCATGTAAGTGCATTACTGTATGATTTATTGAAACTTGAAAAAAATGTATTTTTTCGAAAAACTCAACTTTTGCAAAAACTATCAAACATTTTGCAATTTTACAAAAATGCTCTAGTTCTACTTGCCAAGGATTACATACACTGAAAGTAAAAAAATCTTTTTTTCCTTTACAAGATATAGGAATTAAAAAAATTCGATTTTTATAAGTTTTTTTGCAGTAACTGATACATTTGTTTATCAATTGACATTGAGATAGGTTCAAAATTTTTTTCATAAAAAGTCCTACAACTGTTGACTCAAACATTTTTATCTAAAATGTTTTTTATTAAACTGTTTTTTGCAAACTTCGGATGGCATTTTTAAATTCTAGGAAATTTTTCCTTATTTTTACGTGTCTTTGTTTAATGAACTAAATCTGATTTGATTGGACTATTTTGGTAACACAAGTTAATAATACGCATTAATAGATTAACGATATATTTAATTGTATAAAACCCGACAGTACCACAATCAGGCACTTTGCCATTTTTTTAATCCTAAAATAGTCTTCCCTTACCTTCTTTCCTCGTTTTCAGATTTTATGTCCACAATTTCTGCTTTGATCGACATTTCCATCTCCTTAATATCGAATTCTCGGTCCAAGTTTTCAGTCTTAACGAATAAATTGGATGGTGATGTACCAACTAGACTTTCTGTGGCTTGACAATCAGAACTACCTTTAAAGTTTTCCTCTACTTCCAAACATTCTCTGCAGAAACTGTTGTGGGTGCACAGGGAATCCAAACACACCTTACATACAACGGGATCTATGATGATATTTATATTCTGCAAAGTAATTTTTTTAAGTTGTGATCAATGAATATATTTAACATGGTTCATACCATTTCAGGAGTCAATTTCTGAATAGTTTCGAGTTCCTCTTCACGTATGCACCTAAAATCACTTTTTACTAGTTGCATACACAATCGACATATTTTCTGATTCTCTGAAATTGACTCGTCTTTCTTTTCCTTCCTGTACACTTCCCTTAAGTCGAGCTGTAACATTTTTTCACTATCCACATATGGAATAATTATGTTATCGGTATTCAAACAAGCTGACTTGAAGTCTAATGCTGCGTATAATTTACTTTTGCAAACACTACATATAACCTCCTTGGTCACATCATCCAATTTCTGAAATGTGCGCATTTTAATCAAACAGAATGACAACAACTTTGGCACAAAATAACGTTCACTAATTGAAATAGTAGAAACTAATCTTTCAATGACTTACCAGTTTCAGCAAAAGAACATCAAGAATATCCCTGATAACGTTGTTTATTACTTCAAAACTTTTATCGGCTATAATTTTAAGGCAAAGCCTACAATAAGGTTCCCGAACACCAGTCATTACAATTTCCTTTGAAAAGTAAATACAAACCCGTGACTTGTATGTGCTGTTTAACCTCAATTAAAACATTGGATGGTGATTGTTAGTGCTCTTCTTCCTCTTCTCTACTCCGAAGAACAGGAATGATAAAAATTAGTTAATTATTATCCTACTCAGGTCTACCTTGTACACTCTATCTATCTCTGTACGGCGGTGCTTGTTTAATTTGAACGTTCTTTTTATTGTACTTGAATTCGCTGGGTGTACAGTGTGTTCGAAATGATAGAACAAAAGTCGTATTTTTTTCCAGATCAGATTTTAAAAAATCACTGAAACAGGTCGCGCCATTATTCTATGGCTAGAAATTGGCCTCAATGATTTGGGATCGAGGGGGATTATCCCTCTTTATCCTGCCTCATCTCGTGTAGGCCTGGACAGCCTTCGTAGGTGGGCCCCATCCGTCGTCTACCCCGACCGCAAATGCGGCCGGTGTAGGCGCTTTGTGGGACCTCCTTTTGTCCTGGCTGGGCCCCGCCGGCTAGGGCCCTTTCTTCTGGCGCTCTTCTTGCTTCGCCGGCTCGTCTGTGTAAACCCCGGGGGTAGTGTCATGTTTATGTGTGGTATGGTTGGGTAGGGTAGTGCGGCTATGCAGCCTGGGATGCGCTTTGCTAAGGTGGCCCTTAGGCTAGCGCGGGAGGGGAGGGNGACTTAACCCCACTAGATTTCTTTTGTGGGGTTATATGAAAAGCAAAGTGTACGTGAACAGACGAGGCACTATCTAAAGATTGAAAATACAACGTATCAGAGAAGACGTTCGAAACATCCATCCATAGCACTTTGTTAATAAAGTTGGGATGCGCCGCTCCTCGATTTTGAAACCAATTGCAATTTCTCTTGAACGTTCCAACGCTCTATATACCGCAGGCGCGTTCCCTGTTGCATATTTTTTAAAATGTCTACGGAATTTTTTTTTGCGATTTTCTGTCTTCTTTATTAGGCCTTCCGAATACGCGTATACCTTATATACATAGTAGGTAGTGATTAAGGTTACGCGATGAAGATCTCCATTTGGTGCAGATAACTGAGATAGTAGCAGAAGACACCACTGTTAGTTACTCTTTTTTTTTTTTTCGTTTTCAGTGATATGAAACACAAATCTTAATGTGGATACATTGAAATATATATATTTCAAAACAAGTGCCTTCTGCTCAAGTGCTACAATAAATGATGAAAAAAAAGAATCGTTACTGTTAACACACCTAGTTGTCCGATATGGAACAGTGTTATAATAAGATAAGTACGGTTTTATAAAATCAGCATGTACAGTTAAATTTTATTTCATTCATTCAAGCCTACAGTACAAAAATTATAATAGGGTTTAAACCTTATTTCGAAGTCTTAAAATATTACTAACAAAATACAATAGTGTTACTTACAGCTGCCTTATAGTGAGAATTAATTCATGAATAAATTCAAGAAATTTTTCATTAATTAACTCATGGGTTTTTTCATAAAAGGTTTGGTTTTACATTGTTCCTAACTGCGTGAATTTCTTTGAAACAAAAACAATTACTACCAACTTTGCAGGAAAGTCTTGGTAAATAAAGACAGATTGAAAATGAACACATTTTCCTGAATAAATTGAGATAACACGAAAAAAAATTGTAATCGTACTTTGCCAGTTTAAGTATCCCCATTTATAAAGAAGTAATAATAATTTAACTTCGATATTTTTGTCGGTACTTCCGAACTTCATGAAGAAATACACGAAAATTAGAACATGTTCTAATTTGTGTAGACTTATTTTTTAACTGCGGGAATAATTCACAATGTAAATTAAGTCCAGTGGGTAATTTTTCAAAATTACAAATATTTATTAATATTATTTTTTTTAAATCAGTCTGTTTAGATATATATTTTGAAAACCGTTGTTTACATGGAAGGTAATGATGAATTTGCCGTATTATTAACAATAAAACCTCATCTTTTGGTTTAAAAAATAGTAACTGGTTTTAAGAGGACTTAAAATTAAATTATGAATTAATAATCCACATGTTTAATTCATAATAATAAAAACCGTAAACAATGGAAGAATTCATTTCAGCAAGTTAAATCCTACAACAAATATTTAAACGCCTACCACCTGTTCACAGAAAATTAAGGTAATCGGTACAAAATACATTTAGCGAGTTGCGATAACCTTCCCATCCACACGTACACAACTCAAATTTACAAAATGAATAATTTAGAACAGTGTTAGCAGACATCAACACTTCACTAACTTGCATCTTATTCCAATATTTACAAACATATATTATCATATTCACATTTGTAGCTCTTAAATGCTTCCATTTTTGACATTTTGCAAGACACACAAGGGGCAGTAATTCACACCGGCAAACATTTTTGTGCATCAAAAACTCGTTATGCATAGAGTTTAGCAAAACACAGCGCTACATTTGCATTTAAGAAAGCTCTTTGTGCTTCAACAAGTGATATTTAATACAACTCCTGTATTTAGTTTCGTAATCGCAGTCATTACACCTGTACATTAGATCTGTGATGGATTTTTATGCTTCAGTTGGTGCTGTTTGATAGCTCTTTTATATTTGGTTTCATAATCGCAATCGTTACACTTGTACTACATTTGAACCTGGCAAGTATTTTTATGTTTCAGTTGGTGCCTTTTGATAATGTTCTTGTATTTAGTTTCGTAATCGCAGTCACTGCACCTGTACATTTGAACCTGCGAAGGATCCTTATGTGTCAATTGATGGTTTTTGATATTATCCTTAAATTTAGTTTCATAATCGCAGTCGTTACACCTGTACATTTGAACCTGTGATGGATTTTTATGCTTCAGTTGGTGCTGTTTGATAGCTCTTTTATATTTGGTTTCATAATCGCAATCGTTACACTTGTACATTTGAACCTGGGAAGTATTTTTATGTTTCAGTTGGTGCCTTATAATATTACCCCTGAATTTAGTTTTGTAATCGCAGTCACTACACCTGTACATTTGAACCTGCGAAGGATCCTTATGTGTCAATTGATGGTTTTTGATATTACCCTTAAATTTAGTTTCATAATCGCAGTCGTTACACCTGTACATTTGAACCTGTGATGGATTTTTATGCTTCAGTTGGTGCTGTTTGATAGCTCTTTTATATTTGGTTTCATAATCGCAATCGTTACACTTGTACATTTGAACCTGGGAAGTATTTTTATGTTTCAGTTGGTGCCTTATAATATTACCCCTGAATTTAGTTT